ATGCTCTCTGTCTCTCATTCTCTCTCTCTCAAATAAATAAATAAAATCTTTAAAAAAAAAAAAATTTAAAATTCAGTCTTGGGGATGAAAGGTATAGCATGGGGAATATAGTCAAAAAAATTCAGTTCTTCAGTTGTACTAGCCACATTTCAAGTGTTCAAGAGCCACATTTCTATCATCACAGAAAGTTCTGTTGGATAACACTGCTACAGAAAATCAACTGAGCAAAATAAATAGCGACCTCAAAGTTACATGTCCCTGTGAAATCACTCCTGACCAGAATGAATGATTGTTTCCTCTGAAACTCCGAAGACAGCGTTCGTTCTCTTATTCGGTACTGACTGGATCATTTTTCTTCCTCCAGCTGGTTCTTACCAATCTTCCTCCCCCTCCCACTGAAGAACCTGCTTCCTCATCTTTACCTCCCACCCAGTGCCTAGCACAGCGGCATACCCACAGCAAACGTGCTGTAGATGTGATCTGACTCGAACTGAAGGAGGGGAGACTAGAACGACCAGGCATGAGTAGGGGCCTTGGTTACCAATTTGGGGCAAGGCCGCCTGAAGCAGTAGTTTTTCCAAAGAGCAAACAGAGGTGGGAACCAACCAGAGATCACAGTCATTGTACCAAATAGTTCCTAGTCATCACACACACCTACTGGGCAGGTGGCAATGGGCAAGAATGAAGTTAGCAAGTTACTTTGACCTGCTTTTCTTTCCCTCTTCTCCTTTCTCCCTCTCTGTCCATGCTGTTTGCAGACCAGAGAAGCTGCCTGGGAACAAGGCAGAAGCTTCGAGGAGCTCTGGGCCTATAGGATCCAGACTGCTCATTGCCCCCAGACACCTCTGCTGATGGGCACGTGCAAGGCAGTGAGTGAGAAATTGCATGTGACCAGGTCTGGCATTCAGGAATTCCTGTCAAAAGTCATTCTTGGCTACCTCACTGTGATTATATTCAAGTCTGTTTAAACAAAGAGACGCCAGGCGGGTTTCATCATCATCGCTTAGTTCTGGGCCTTTGTTAGGGAAGCAGCTGAAGGTGAGCCCTCTGGAATGAACTTGGCTTTGTAGGCTGTATTTGCAGGGCCACAGTGCCTTAAGTCCTATGCCTCCTTTTCTCAGTCTGGGGTGGCAAGCTTTCCCAGCCCTTCCCATGCAGTCCCGGCCATTGCTCCTTACACTTCCCAGCCCTCGGAGGTGGTTCCTCTAGTGCTTTCTTCCCAGAGTGTCAGGAAGGAAACTTTTTCACATGGCCTCTAGGACCCGTACCCCCTCTCCTGCATGGCGCGCCTGGTCAAGTGGCTTACGTTTCCTCTGAGGCTTGAGATTTCTGTTCACTGGCGGAGGCTCCAGGTCCACAGGCAGCTCAGGCAGCGGGCTTGAGATGCTTCCTGGGCTCATTGGGATGTAGTCGTCATGGCTGCAGCGGGCTCCAAGACCAGAGATGGCCGCCTGGGGGCCCATGGGCACGTAGCCGTCTTCAGCCCCTCCTGAAGCCGTAGGGGACATGGGGGAGAACCCGCACGGCTGCAAGAAAACAGAACGGTCATGAAAATGGCTGCACACGGGGCTTTGGTTGCAAATTATCCAAGAATAACCTCGAACTTCCTTAGGAAAGTCCAATAAGCTTCCAACTCCAGCTCTGCTTCTGCACCTATTGTATAGGTGAGTGAGACTCTCCTGAAGGTGATGCTAGAAGACAGTGGGTTAGGAATGTCTGCAGATGCTCTACATATAATGTGATGCCCGAAGTCCTGCCCCGAGCCAGACAAGGGTCTGAACCATTAGAACTGGCAGGGTCCTCACAGAACACTCAGTCCAGTAGTTCCCAGACAAGTGCAAGCCTTAGGGGAGACTGAAAGGGTCCTCAGAGACTCAGTGCTGAGTCTCAAAAGACCTAAAGGGAACATATGTTGGTCAGGCTATTTTTGGTCAAATTGAGGCTTAAAGGAACTCAAGTGCCAAACTTACCAAATTTAAACTAAGCCGCTTGTCTCGGTGTCTTAATGATTGGCCTTCTACATCAGCTGTAAGAAACAAGCCAGGGTGGTGAGAAACACAAGACGGTATCAGTTGAAACTAGGTTCCAAGTCCCTATGGACCTCAAGGCCCTATGCTCAGCTCTGGAGAGGAAGAGAAGCATAACACAGTTTCTATACGCAAGGCTTGCTATTACGTCTAGTTGGGCAGTCAGAGCACATTCACCAACAGATGGAAATCAGATCAGATTTGGAAGTTTCTGTATCATGGCTTCAGTTCTCTCAATGAATGAGGAGGACATATAGCAAAGAGTTAACAAATGCCTGTTGCATTTATTATATGAATTTTCTGAGCATAGAGATGATAGAGACAGAGAGGGAGGTTTGAAGAGAGAAGGTGTACAAGATCCCTTGTGATAAACAGACAAGGGGCAGCACCACAGAGCATCACTGAGGGTGAACTGGAGACCTGTGATCATGATTTTCTGCAGCAATAGCCAGCCACTCAGGTACAGGCATGGAGAAAGAGGAAAGTTGGGTTAATCCAGGACTAGAAACTTCTCAGATGGATGTGACAAACAGTATGACATAAACATTTAGAATAATTGTTGAACTGAAAGAAGACATGTCCAGAAAGCAGAGCAGTAAGATAAATGGGCCTAGACTCAAATGAGATATGATGTTTGGGAATTAGCAGCTTAGAGATGGCAGTCAAAACCATAAGAGTAGATGAGTCCATCTAAGTTGCAAGTGTTGAGAGCAGTTTAACTACAAAACCCTACAGAATCCCAATATTCAAAGAGCAGGAAGATGAGCAACCACAGAATAATGTTAGAAAAGTCCAGTGCTCTCAGCAAGTGGGTACCAGGGAAGTGTTCCTTAAGGACTTGGAGATATGAAAAGTCAGGTTGCCTTGGAAAAATATACTGAAGAGTAAACATGATCTTTGTTCGGGGAGGGGGGCAGAGGGAGAGGGAGAGAGAGAATCTTAGGCTCCACGTCCAGCATGTGAGCCCAACGCAGGGCTCGATCTTATGACCCTGAGATCATGACCTGAGCTGAAACCAAGAATCGGATTTGGTTTCTGATTGGTTTCTGAGCCACCCAGGTGCCCCAAGAGTCAACATCATCTTAAAGTGAGAGAATAATCCCCAGCTCAGAAAGATGTAATGGGAGATTGTGCATTATATACAGATCTTCCTCAACTTCCTTTATCGGTGATGTCCTGATAAAGCCACCCTAAATTGAAAATATTCTAAATAAAAAATGTGTTTACTACATCTAACCTACCAAACATTATAGTTTAGCCTAGCCTGCCTTAAACGTGCTCAGAACACTAACATTCACCTACAGTTGGGCAAAATCAGCTAAGACACAAGCCTATTTCATTTTATTTTTATTTTATTTTCCTGCCTGGGGAAGATCCAAATTCAAAACTCTAAGTACAGTTTATATGGAATGCATATTGCCTTTGCACTATCATAAAGTAAAAAAATCCTAAATTTGGGGGCACCTGCATGGCTCAGTTGGTTGAGTGTCCGACTCTTGATTTCAGCTCTGGTCACGATCTCAGGGTCCTGGGATCAAGCCCCATGTTGCCCACCCCTGCCCCCGCTCAGTGGGGAGTCTGCTTGTCACTCTCTTCCTCTGCGGTGCCCACCCCCCACCCCTGCTCGTGCACACATGTGCACTTTTTCTCTCTCAAATAAATAAATAAATCTTTTTTTCTTTTTTAAATCCTAAATCGAACCATCATAAGTCAGGGACCATCTGTATACATATATATGTATACATACACACATATTTTTATTTCTTTATATATTCCTTTTTAACGCAAATGGTAGCATATTATACTCCCAATTCTGCAACTTGATTTTTTCACTTAATATCTTGGAGATCAGGGCAGAGAAACACAATCAAGAATTTCTTCATTCTTTTATTCACTGGTATTGTGTTTCATTCTACAGATGGATCATAATTTGAGTATTCCTCTAATATTAGGTATCAGTTTTATTTCTAACACTTTGCTTTAAAACAAATGATAGGGGGCACCTGGGTAGCTCAGTCGGTTAAGCGTCTGCCTTCGGCTCAGGTCATGATCCCAGGGTCCTGGGATTGAGCCCTGTGTCCGGCGGGAGCCTGATTCGGGAGCCTGATTCTCCCTCTCCCTCTGCCTGCCCCTCCCCCTACTTGTGCTCACTCTCTCTCTGTCAAATAAATAAATAAAATCTTAAAACAACAACAACAACAAAGGATAGGGGCACCTGGGTGGCTCAGTCGTTTAACTGTCTGACTCTTGATTTTGGCTCAGGTCATGATCTCAGGGTTCTGGCATTGAGCCCAGCATGGGGCTCCATGCTCAGCGGGGAGTCTGCTTCTCCCTCTGCTCCTCCCCCGCTCGTGCTCTCTCTCTCTCTCAAATACATAAATAAATAAATCATTAAAACAAAGGACAGAAATGGTTGAAGAAATAGACATAATGAAATAAGAATTGAATGACTGTACTCAGGGAAAAAAGTGAAGAGAAAGATAAAACCAGTCTCAGAGATGAAGCCTAAGTCACAAGATTCCCAGGGAAAAAGATTCAAGTGAAAATTCAATAAATGCCATTGAAGAAATGCCAGAAAACAGCTAAGAGAATAAAAAAGAAAAAGAATCACAGAAAAAAAATGGTTGAAATAGAAGACAGGCAAACAAGATGCAGTATACATATTTATTATTAGATTCCTCATAGAAGGAAAACCAAACAATGGTATAGTACTAATATAAAAACTATAATCCAAGAAAAAGTCCACAGATAAAGTAACACCTGACGCTACATATTGAAAGGGCCCACCAAGTACCTGGATTAACTGGCTGGTCAATTTTACCTAAGATGGTAAAGTCTATTACAACGGCTATATTGATAAAATGCCAGAATAAAAATAAATAAATTAGGGACGCCTGAGTGGCTCAGTCGGTTAAGCGACTGCCTTTGGCTCAGTTCATGATCCCGGGGTCCTGGGATCGAGCCCCACGTTGGGCTCCCTACTCGGCGGGGAGCCTGCTTCTCCCTCTCCCTCTGCTGCTCCCCCTGCTTGTGCTCTTTCTCTCTCGCGATCTCTCTAACAAATAAATAAAATCTTTTTTTTTTAAGATTTTATTTATTTATTTGACAGAGAGAGACACAGCGAGAGAGGGAACACAAGCAGGGGGAGTGGGAGAGGGAGAAGCAGGCTTCCCGTGGAGCAGGGAGCCCGATGCGGGGCTCGATCCCAGGACCCTGGGACCATGACCTGAGCCAAAGGCAGACGCTTAACGACTGAGCCACCCAGGCGCCCCACAAATAAATAAAATCTTTTTAAAAAATTAATTAAATACCCAGTTCAAAGCTAGAGAAAGAACAGAGAAAACCAAAAGACATTACAAAATAAAGATAAAAGAAAACAATAGAGTGTAGAGAAAGAGTAGACTTAATTTTTTTTTTTTTAAGATTTTATTTATTTATTTGAGAGAGAATGAGAGAGAGCACATGAGAGGGGGGAGGGTCAGAGGGAGAAGCAGACTCCCTGCCGAGCAGGGAGCCCGATGCGGGACTCCATCCAGGGACTCCAGGATCATGACCTGAGCCGAAGGCAGTCGCTTAACCAACTGAGCCACCCAGGCGCCCCAAGAGTAGACTTAATTTTTTTTTTTAAAGATTTTATTTATTTATTTGACAGAGAGAGACACAGTGAGAGAGGGAACACAAGCAGGGGGAGTGGGAGTGGGAGAAGCAGGCTTCCCGCGGAGCAGGGAGCCTGATGCGGGGCTCGATCCCAGGACCCTGGGATCATGACCTGAGCCGAAGGCAGATGCTTAACAACTGAGCCACCCAGGCGCCCTGAGTAGACTTAATTTTAAAAAACAAAATCTTTGGGGTGCCTGGCTGGTTCAGTCGGTGGAGCTTGTGACTCTTGATCTCAGGGCTGTGAGTTCAAGCCCCATGTTAGGTGCAGAGATTACTTAAAAATAAAATCTTAAAAAAAAAAATCAAAATCTTTGTTTTCTGGAGAAAAAAATAACCAAAAGGCAACTGACTAGTCAATCTAATCAATAAGGGGGGCGGGGGTAAGCACAAATATCCAAATAAGAACTGAAAAGGATCAAGTTATCACTGAAGCACAGGAAATTAAAAGAAACAGAGACAATTCTGTACCAATTTCTATATAATTTTAAAATCTAAATGAAATGGATAATTTCCTAGGAAAATAAAGTATACCAAAAGTGACCCAAATAGGAATAGAAACCTTGGGGCACCTGGGTGGCTCAGTCGTGAAGTGTCTGCCTTCCACTCAGGTCATGATCCCAGGGTCCTGGGATGGAGCCCCGCATGGGGCTCCCTGCTCGGCAGGAAGCCTGCTTCTCCCCCTCCCACTCCCCCTGCTTGTGTTCCCTCTCTCGCTGTCTCTCTATCAAATAAATAAATAGAATCTCAAAAAAAAAAAAAAGGAATAGAAATCTTACACATATAAAGTACCACAGAATAGAAAAAATCACCATGGTGCTACCTCCCCAAAGCACCAGGACCACATGATTTCCACAGAGAATTTTACCAACCTTTCAAAGACCAGTGCTACACAAATTGTTCCGAAGCATAGAAAAATAAAAACATATTTCTAATTCTTTTTATGAAGTATAACTTTGGTAGCTCAACCTGATCATGATAAAGCAAATCAGAAAACTACAGATTAATATCACTTGTGATTATCAATGTAAAAATCCTATATAAACTATCAGCAAACAGAGGAAGGGAGGACTATTAAATTGGTTGAAGAAAGAGCTCAGCAAAGCCATGCCCCCAAAAGCAATGATAAAACAGTACATAACTATAAAAAAACAACTATTTTGGGACTCTTCAAATTTACCGAAAGCATACAACAAATTGAAAAGCATTTATTCAAGAAAAACTCCTGGATACCAGATAAGAACAGTGTGAGTCTGTGGCATTTGAGCTTGGGGAGCTCCCAACCCTCTCATGAAGACCAACAGCTCTGCTGTCCAAGGGGACTCATTTGATTTGGATCAAGCATATAAACACCCCACCCTCTAGGTGACCAGTGACAATCACGGTGAGCAGCAAACAAGTGGACCAGCCAGAAACACAGCAAGATGATCTAGGCAATGAGTCAAGCAAAGTGTACCTTGATGAAATCCCACACTCCCTTGGCAGGTCTGGGAAGCTGTGTGGACGCACGAGGTACACTCATGTAGAAGAGGTCAAAGAGGTAGGTAGCTACATGAGGCCTTGCCCACATAGAAAGTAAGAGCTGGGACAGACTTGTAAACAGACTGAACTTTGAATGCATTTCCCATCCCATGCAGTGATCCGCTGGCAAAGGGTGGAAGCCTCGCTGGCTCAAGAGTTTCAGCATATACTCTGACCGACCACTGGCTGACCAGTAAACTATGCTGACCCAGACCTCTGGGAAGCCAGAATTAAAAATAAAAGTAAGGGGGCGCCTGGGTGGCTCAGTTGGTTAAGC